ATCCCCAGCAGGGGAATAGCTGGGTCAAATGGGACCTCTAGTCCTAGTTCTTTGAGGTATCTCCATACTGATTTCCACAGTGCTTGCCCCAGTCTGCACTCCCACCAGCAATGGAGAAGGCTTCCTTTTTCCCCACAGCCTATGTAGCACAGATTATATTGTTGGTTTTATTCATTGTGCTAGTTATTATTTTATTTTATTTAAGATGCTGCTAAAGAAGTTGGTATAAGGTTTGGACCTTAAGCATCCCACAGCTCCCAAGTGTGACCCTTGTAAATGGCTCACTCCCTGGAAGTGCGTGGGGGTGTGCGTGCTTCTGTGTGTGGTGGTTTTGTTCAGTTTTAATGTGTGGGGTATGGACTAGACCACTCTGGCTTATAGCAGAGAAAACAAACAACTTCTGGACTGAATGAATTATCAGAAAATGTTCACTAATTAAATCCTTTTTGGCTCATATGACTGAGCATCTTACTTGGTCAAAGCAACTTTGTTACTTTAGTTTACTGGCACACATGTGTGGTAGATGATGTCCACATTCCTTGTGTGGAGTTGGGGTGTGTACACAACACATCTTAGTGCCTTTTCCCCTTCCCTCTCTCCCTCCTACACCCATCCCCGATCTCTTTCCTCTTTATACAAGTTAATTTTTAATAATTTTAATAATTTCATTCACATATATTTGCACCCAAAAATTTCAAATATGAATTTTCTATATCAAATTTAGTAACTTTCCAGCATTCCTTTACATTATATGATAGCATTTAATTCATATGATAATTTCAGTAGTGTTTATTTTATGCTCAGGTGGTAATACCACAGAGTTAGTATTTAATGCTAGAGATGGTTTTGGTCATTTTGCATTACCTTGGCCAATTGTGACATGTAATGACCAATTGTGACCTTTTTGCTGTTTAATTACATGTCTGTATAAATAACAATGAATTTGGAAAATTCAGTAATGAGAAAATTTCAATAGACTTTTTTGGTTTTTCCAGAGGAGGAAAAGCAGAAATATCTAGTATAAAAATGAGCTATGAGAATCATTCACTAGGGATACAAAAGAAATGGTTTATTTGTTACATATTTTAGTTCATAGAAACAATATGCTTCTGCATTTTATTTGTGCACTCTGTTTTTCATGGTTAATAAATCTGTAACAAGTTAAAGATATTGAATGTTATATAAAAATTGTTGGCTTACATAGTTATTTATTTATTATTGTATAAGAGAATATATTATATAATGATTATTATTCCCAATAATTAATTTGGGAATATATACTAATACTAAATCTCCAAATGATTTTTAATATATGCACATACTAAATAAGCTCATCATCCCCATACTAGAAATTAAGCTTTTTGCATATTGCAATGTCTCTTTATTTCAGAATCTAACTTGGGAAACAATGCATAAAGTATATCAAATGATACATAATTATACAAATCACACATTAACCATGCTATCTACTGCAAAGAAATCTGATTTCTGAAAATCCAGGTAAATACTATAATTAGTATTACAGTATACTAGAAATATAATTATAGTGGTGTATGGTTGAACAACGAGAGCACAAATTTTCAAATAGATAAACCAAGTTAAATTTTGAGGGTTTTTAAAGTAAAATTCCATATGTAAATAGTTCATTCTACCTAATAACATGGTGACTATCTCTCCAGATATGACAAGTTGGCTCTCATCAGAGTCCGGGCAATGAGTGTCCAGTGCCTGCTGAAATGGTGCCTGCAGAATGTTGGCTGAGCATGAGATCCGACTTCCTATTCTTGGAATGTTCGCAAGCAGACTCTGAGGAGCACATTATATCACTTCCTAATGATTTTTCTTATCAGTTTGGTAAGTCATGCAATAGTCCCTAAAATAAAAATCAATACACTCCGTGCCTGCCTAGATTCCAATGTAGCACAATCCCAGACGAGAGAGAACTGAGCTCAGGGGTGAGATGATGGTTTGGCTCCACGACACAGGCATCCCGGGCTCCGACTGCTGTCACATCTGTGGGTGAGAAGTTTCAGCATCGTGTGCTGGGGAATCGGGCCAAGCCGAGAACTCTTCAGAACCTCATGCCTGCTTAACTTAGTGACAAATGATGGTTTCTGGCTCATACCTAAATTATTCTAAGCATTTTAGTGTTTAAATTTCAGCTCAGTCTTTGAGATGAGTGATTGAAATGGATGTTAGAGTATTTCCCTAACGTGGATATTTAACTCTAAGCAAACAGAGCCCCAATTAAAAAATACATGAACTAAAAGGTAAAATATAGATAGAATACACTATTTTAGGAAACTCTTTGAGGAAAGCAAGGGTGCATACTTTCTGTTTGTTTGTTTTGAGAGACGGTCTCGCTTTGTGGTCCAGGCTGCCCTTGAACTCACTAGTCCATGCTGCCCTTGAACTGATGGTGATCCTCCTGCCTCAGCCTCCCCAGCGCTGGGATTACAGACATGCACCACCATGTCCAGTTCAAATGTGCATACTTTTTATTAGAAAAACTTATGTCTGACTTAAGATACTTTATTTTTAAATTCATATTTGGCGATACATTTCTGCTGGAACACTGAACTTGAAACATTGAAAATGAGCAATGAAATATTCCTAGAAAAAGATGAACATATATTACATGATCTTATTTTCCCTTATTTGTTTCACATTTCTGCTTAAGAAAATGATGCAAAAGCCTCTCAATTTGCACATGAAAACTATGTGAATCCTCTGCCTCTTATTAACACAGCCGCATATCTCTCTGCCCCCAGATGGCTCCAGGAAGCCCACGTCCCCTGTAAATCCATCTGAGATTGATCAGAAGGAGATTAATGATTTCTACTGGACCCAATTCATCTCAACCTTGAAGTCAAAGTTCTACTCCCCTTGTTCTTCAACCCTCAACAAAAATTTACACTTGATTTCCTTCCAACTTGGAAATGATCAGAACACGGTGTGAATAATTTTACTGTCCCTCTGTGCATTTGTGTAACAGTCTTACTCCGTTGTATAAATCTTTTTTCTTTGTTTTTCTGTATCACTGCACTTGACTCAGAGTCTAAATCTTTGCAGGACAAGAATCCATAGACTGTACAGAATCAGCATCTTGCAATAAAACTTCATCCATTTATTCATAAGACACTGACCACTCAGTCTGTATCTGAAATTGATCGAGACATGCGGAATAAAAAAGTTAATTAGACACAGCCCCTACCCTTACTGTAGTTTCTTTAATGGTACTGGGGAAATGTGTGAACAGCTGTTTATTAATCCTGCTAGATAGTGCTGCAGTTACAAAGGCCCCCAAATTCAGTGTGACACTTTATTTCACACGTTAAATATTGACTGGTGGCTATGCATTGGCATAGCTTTGGACCGTACATTATTTTAATTTTAGTTTAGTAGTACATGTGTGTCATAACACATCTTATTTCCTTTTCCCAGCCTATTTCCCTTCCTTCCTGTCCCTCTCCACTCATCCCTTGATCCCCTCTTTTTTTGGGTACATGTTTGCGATACACAGTGTTTACATTCCATGTGCGGGGTTGGAACATGATGGAGACTAAAGAAGCACCTTCTGCCTAAATCATGCTATTTTGGTAACTAGGAAAGCAAATGAAGAGTTGGCTATTAAGCTTCTTTGCGATGTATGTAACCTCCCCTCAAATTCTAGTAACCAAAACCAGTCATGTGTGCAGACCTGCTATCAACATATCAAGAAAACATGCACCTCCCACTGAAGGGTTGTGTACCTTATGGGAAAACAGGAATGAGAATCCTTTTACAGGGTGAACAAGAAATTGGAAATAAAAGTATATTTTATCATAAATCAGGTACAAAATAATGTGAGCGAATATGGAGTTTGTTTTCTGGGTCACAGAAACAGGGTCACAACACACAGCGTCGGCAGTTGCTGGGGGCCAGGGTGGCTGTGGCCGGGCCTTGCAGATGTAGCAGGAGTTCTTCGGGGTCAGAAGGAAGTGCTCTACGCAGAAGGCAACGGGACAAGTTTGCAAAGGCTTAGAAGAAAGAAGGAATCATCTCGCAGGAAGTGCTGAGCTTTCCAGCAGAGCAGTTGTACACTACGCGTTTGCGGTGGCAGTGGTCTGAGGTTAAAGGCAATCTGTGGGACTTCCAGGTTGTGAGCTAAGAGTAACACCCCACAGAGGAGGCCCCTACATAAACAACCAGCCTCGAGCAAAGCAACTGATGAACGCCCGGCACCTCACCTGCCCCTGTGTAATTTGTGGCCAATTCACAGGCCAGGGGCTTTCTAGGATTCAAGCTGTATGACTCTGTAGCTGCTCCATTACTCAAATGATTTTCATACACACTAAAATAATTCAAGGTTTCATCTCAAGATTTGCATTTCCCAAGATCTCAAACTTGAAGCAAAACTTTTCTCGTTTCTCATATAAGGGATCTATAATAACCACACAAAAGCTTCACATGTCCTGATGTATAGTTGGAAATCCAAAAGACAAAAAGCCGATTTCAGAATAATTGTATTTTGAACTATATCAGACCATTATTAAACAAAACATATAAAAGTATTTATTTAGCAGAAATATTCTCGGATTGCTTACCTGAGATTTTTAGTGTTTTTGTTCTACACAGTAAATCATATACTTCAATTCTAAGCAGTGAATATTTTAAATTACCATCTATAAGTATGTTATAAATAAAAAATTGAATTAAGTAAATACATTCCATTGAAGTAACAAACAAGAGTCAAAGATCAGTGCTTAATAATCTCAAGGACTTTATAATCTCAAGCTCACCCAAAGACCACTTCAAGTCTAGGTAGCTCCCAAGGACAGCCGTGCTCATGCGTTGGCTGGACACCGCCAGTGCGTTTAACCTTCCAAGACCGCCTATCAACACGCATCCCACTGTCACCTTCGCAGGGTGAGGTGTAAACTGGAGGGTGGAGACTGAGCAATGAAGTGCTTCTCCCTAGATGTCCCTAGTGGTGTCATTTCTACAGCCATCACGTGCACCCACAGTTTACTGCTCAAAGAAGTTCCAGGGCTCCCGTGGAGGAGGTGGGGACCTTCCACATTCCCAGTGAGTCCAAAGATAGGGAAGAGTCATTGCTGCTGAAGAACAGTACCAGTGCTTGGCACACAGGATAAAGCAACAGGAACTTAATACTCACTGGACCGCCCATCATAGGACAGAAATGTTAGAAACTTTCTTACCCAACTCAGTGGATGCCCACGAAGAACTTACTGGCCTAGTCTACTTTCTCCATTTTGCAAAAGCAAAGGCACAAATGACAACAGCAAAACCTTGAATCTGTCCTGCAAAAGAAGAATTGCTTACGAATTCTTATCCCAAACTTGTTTTCTTTATACACACTTCTGTTACATTTGAATGTTTCTACAGTTTATAAATAGTAAATAAGAATGATAATTTTTACATTTGTCATATGAGAAATCAAGTAGAGATTCTTACAGTTGGGATTTTCTTCTTTTCTTGAAAACAAGGTTTAAAAACATTTTCTGAAAGTAATTAAATATCACAGATTATCTGATTCTCATGCAATTGAAGAAATCTCCATATTTCATTCTAACTTTTTTGAATGTTCTGAATCTGGTCTTTCAGAAATTATAAACATCAGACTCACTGGCTACAAATTCATCCTTTTTTGTGTTTCATCCATCAATGGCCATAGGAATTAAAAATGGAGCCCAGTTCAGCATAAAATGTGAAGCTAGTTACATGAGCCTTTTTTAAAGCTCAATGATAAGTAAAGAGCATTCAGACCCATTGAATATCTTATCTTAGTGTTTCAATGAGGAAGGATGATGGTCGTGCAAGAGAGATTATTCAACATGGTCCATAGATTTTATTTTTAAGTTGAAAAAGTAACCTGCAATATGGCAAGGATAATGGTTTCTATATACCCTTGAAGGCAGTCAATAGCTGTATAAAAAGGCCAGGGAATGCATGGCCCCTTTCTTCCCAAAATGACTATTACAATTTAAAAAACCCGGAATCTACAATAGATTTAGTTTGCATATATTAATATTCACCCAAATTGTCTATTTGGGATATTAAAAAATAAGGGTAGGATTTGTGCATATAAAACAACCTCTTTCTGTGTTGCTGAAATTCTTGAATAAGTTCCACTGATTGCACCTCCCTTTCTCTGCATCAGAGTATGTTTAGGAGATATGAAGAAGGGAGGATCTTGCAGAGCTCTTCTTGTAGGGTAGAAATGTTATTTCCTTATTTTAAAGCTTTAGAAGATAATATTCCTCAAATAAAATTAATAAAATTGAGAATTTCTAATTGTGTTTCTGAAGCATTGATATTCTATATATGTTCTCAACAATTATTTTCTGAAACCAAACTAATTCTTGGTGTCTAAATTAATGGAAGACATCAAAACAGACAAAGAATTTTTAAGACAGTGAATATTTGTTAGGAAATGTAACAAATTTTTGGACTGGTCAGGTTGAGATAATTTTGGCAATTCGTGACTGATATATGGAATTCAAGCCCAAGAGTTGATGTAATGCACAAGGTGTAGGCCATATCCACGAGAAAAAGAAATATTAAGTTCCTTATCAGAGGCTGTGGAAGATTGAATTAATTAATTAAAATGATACAACATGCAAACATTGAGTCATGGTATTTTAATAAAAATCAGAATACAATATATTAAGAAATCCACTGATTCTTCTGAGTCACTGAGCTGCCTTGTCATTTACGGTGGCACAGTAGTTACCAGTCCTGATTTCTACTCTTTCCAACGATTCTCCCTTGTGGGTAGCATGGACCTGTGGCTGAGAAGGAGGAATTCTCATGCCCGGGTTGGCAGTAGAGGGGAGAGCAAACCTGCCTCTGAGTGACTCTAACGCCAGTAGAATTCCTGAAACATCACAGCCTGTTGCACGGAAGGGAACCATGACGACCAGCTGCGTATTTTAGTACCATTCTAACTAGCTCTGTCTTTTCTTTCTGGACATCTTTTGCTTGTATCATATCATCTTTTACCTATTGACACTAACTTTTGACTTAATTTCTATCCTTTTTATATTGTGCTTTAACTTCTTTAATGTATCCAGCCATCAACATGTGTTAATGCTTAGTAATTTACCCTGTGTTTTGTACTGAGAGCGAAAAGATAACGAAATGCTTTTCAAAAACGGCCTCAAATCCTTGGACAGGCCTTCCTTTAGGAGGATGAGTCTGTGTCCCCACTCCTTGAATTTAGGCCCTGTACCTGGCTGACCAACAGGTTACGGGGGAGGTGACCCGTGCCTGTGCCAAACAGGAGTTGACAAAACCACGAGTTTCTGATGTGACAAAGCCCAGGTCCCGTGGCAAGGCCGAGATCACCACAGTCAGCATCATCCAGCAGACGTGCGCTTGTGGACACCTTTGAAACGATGCCAGCCCAGGCTCCAGTCGAGAGCTGTCTGGCTGGACACTGTCAGCTGTGAACCCTGGAGAGATAACAACAAAATACTTGCTGCTGTTTAAGATTCAGGTTAAGCCACTATGCGGCAATAAATAAGTGGAGGCCATGTCCAAACCTCAGGCCTGACAAGGGTCCAGTAGAGAATGAAGAGGTGGAATGGGAATGGGAACAGGAAATGGCATGGGACACCATCCATTCCATAGCCGTAGGAGAGAGCTGGGCACTGGTGGGAAAAAGTCTGTCAGCCGAGGGGGCCAGGGGCACGTGCAGGCTGCTGTGTGACCTGAACCTGTCCCCACACCTGGGGCCACTTCGGTGGGCAGAAGCACTTCCTAGTCCCATGCACAGCTGCTAATCCTAGTTTCACTCCGATTCTTAAGCTATTTTTGCCTAATTTATTTGGTTTTCAAAGAAATCCCTATCCAGAAGAGACTTTAAAGTATCTGCTTTCTGTAGGCCTTTTAATTGTGTCAGGCTGAGGATCTGATGGACGGGAAGGAGGTGGGGAATTGCAGGAATGGAACCAGGTGCTGCTGCAGCTGCAGGAGAGGCGGAAGGCCGTGGAATTTCTGTGGGCCGCACTGCCTGTCAGTGGGGGATGGGCACCTCGGTTCAGGAAGGCTCACCTATCCCCATACTGGTTTCGAATAAGTTCCGAGAAGTGTTTGCTTTGTTAAACATAGCTGTTTTCCATGCTATTGCTTTTTCCAGAAAAAGATTTGCACCAGTCTAAGAAAACAGTAGTTACATGTTATATCAATAAATCTCTGAACAAAAATTTAAGGTTTAATTTCAGTTTAATTATCTGGCCCCATTCAGGTTACTTTGCTGGAGAGAGAGAGAGAGAGAGAGAGAGAGAGAGAGAGAGAGAGAAGAAAGGAAGGAGGGAGGAAAAGAAGAAAGAAGGAAGGAAGGAAGGAGGGAAGGAAGGAAGGAAGAGAAAAGACAATATCCCTGCATGTAACACCTTAGCAAGTCCTTGCCCTGGCCTGTCAAGCAACACAAGATATAACTTTCCTTGTGAGCTCCGGGATCTTTTAAATGATTAGTTGTTATTATTATTGCAAAAAGAAAACTTGCATAAAATAGATTAAACAATAAATGTTTAATTGCATGTTAAGTTAAATAGGAATCTTGAAAATATAAGCATATTGGTAATTGCAGGTTGCTTCCCATCTGGACTGCAAGGCTTCAGGTTCGTGCATAATCAGGCGTTTGTAGGAAAGTTGTGAAATGCTGTAAGAATTCCCAGTCGCGGTTTCCATCAATATACAGAACCCAGTTACTCTGCTCAGGGCTGGGGAAAGACCTTCCCTGGAACTGACATGAAACACTGTTACAGTCTCACTTAGGCAGACTTGGAATCGGCTCAGTGATGACCTCATCGACATCAGTGAAAAGCATTTGACATCTGGCCTAGAAAATCAGACAGTCGACCACAGAGACTTTGATTAAAAAACTTCATGTAATTTTCTCCAATCAGTACCTTGGCCTGTTCTTTTATCCGAGTGAAGGTTGCTCTCATCACCTGCAAATTTGTACGAAAGCTTTAAACAAACAAGCATGAGGTTTGTTCGTGAAAATCCCCTCCTGAAGAACTCGATAATGAGCTGTACTGATGATGAGATTCCTTCAGTGAGAAATAAACCTGGAGTCTTCTGTGGATTTTTGTCCCGGCTGTGTGGGTTCATGCCTGTGTGTTTAACCTTCGTCTCATAAAGCGTTCGGGAGAAAACTCTACATGAGCTGCTTTTTCTTTCTAGAAAACAACCCAAAACCAAAAAGCCTCAGACAGCGCCTTTCACATCATCTGCGTTCCGAAGTCGGCAATCATGCATGCCGCCGGGTTCCGTGTGTTTGACCCCCTCAGAGTAGAGCAGAGCCGACCCTTTACGGAGAAGCATGAACCCTCGGGGGACAGGGGGGGGGGGGTGCTCAGCGGAAACCCTGAGACAGAGCTGCCTCTCCCCAGGAGCTGGAGTCGCTCTTGACTTTGGAGAGCAGGGCCTCTTGGTAGTCAGCACCCTGCAGCCTGTTCTCTCCCAAGACAACTTACATGGTGCAACTTGATAATCAGCACATGTCCGGCAGACTAAATCCAATATATCCGTTTTCAGGTCAGAGGCAGTGGCTGTAGTGGCCTGGAATATGCCACCCCGTCTACTAGTTCCTTGACAAGGGTACCTTCCCTGCTAATAGTGTCACAGTAAATGTGCTTATCTGTTAAGAACAAGGAGGTGCGCTGTAAAATATGTATGTGCTATCAAAACATTCAGAATCAAATCCTAATAAAATTAGAAGTTGGAGTAAAAGGAAATCGTGGTCTTCAATTGAATGTCTTGGAATTACCTTCAATAATGGCTGAAACACCATATAAGTAGTGACTGTTATGAATATATATATATATTTATATATTTATCAGGCCATGAGCACATGAGCACACAATCAGTTTCCCAGGTTCAGTTTCCAAGGAAGGAAGACAATATGATGAAGTAAAACCAACTTCCCCAACTCTACAACTCTATCTTTTGTGGTTTACAAATTGTCATTGCACTATTACACCCGAGACTATGAAATCTACTCAGTGATTAGAGACACAGTTCAGAAAATAAAAAAAAAAAGAATAAGAAGCATTTTCTCTTTGATACCACCTGTAATAGCAAAAAACCAAAAACATAGAGGGTGAAAAAAGGAACATTTTGGGTCATTTTTCAAAATGTCAGTGTTTTATTTAAAGCTGCCTGGGACTGATCTCTGCCCTCAATCCATGTACCTGGCTGGATGCTGTAGCTGTAGCTCTCAGATGGGAAGAAAGAAGCAGACGCGGACTCTGTGTCACCAGCTGTGACCGTTTCTTATCCATAGGTACAACGGTCATTTATCGGCCCACTGGTCTCCACTTCAGGAAATCAGATTGCAGTTTTAGAAATCAGGCAGAGAAATAAAATCTGCTCTCAGAGATGGATATCTATGGGGAAACACTTCTATTGTGTGAGTGCTACAAGAAGTATTCTGCTGGAAAAAAGTGATTTGTTCCATGAAAAAATGCATCTAAAGGAAATTGATATTTAGTTACTCATATCAACCATGCTTATAAAAAAGAGATTCTACATTTTTATCATTTAAAAACATTACATTATTAATCTTCCTAGATGTCTATGTAAAATGCCTACTGTAGGAAGCTTAAAACTGCTTCTAAGAATTTCTCACTTTTAAATACAAAATGTATTGCTCATAAATTATTTAATTTCTTTTGTGCAATCTCAGGTTAATCCATTGATGCCTTAAAAGTAGACATACTTCCAACCAAGGTAACATAATTTTATGCAATTTTTTGAAATTGTTTCTTTTGGAGTTAAAGTTATGATTATTGCATAATAATAATAATGTGAATAATGGTTGATTAAACCGTATTCACAGAGGTGAATAGCTATCAGGACAGACTAGAAGTGATAGAAACGTCTTCATTCAAAACATCTATTTGTGGGGTTTCTCCCGACATCAACTGAAATACACCTGTTTCAGTGCAAGGACTCAAAATGAGAAGGGGCTGCCCCATGTTAGCCAGTGTCCTGCTTATATTTAATTGATGCACCTGGTAAACACACACATTTCTTACTTTACAAAATTATCCCAAAAGCCCAAAATAAAGCTTTCCATTTCACACCAGACTTTTTCACTGTCTATGTAACCGGTTGCATGGTTTATTAAATCCATAGTGTACAAAAGCATTAAATCCTATTTTTTGTTCTTTAAAATCTGTCAAATAGAAAGATAGCCCTTGTAATAAAAAAAGCTGACTATAAAGTCTTCTCTTTAGGAACAAAGTTCCATGATGGCAACACCTTTGTTTTGTTCTTGAATGTGTACTAAACCCTAAAACTTGGTGCTCAATAGATATTTGTTTGATGAGTGAATTAATTATGAAAACTATGACCAACACGACATAAAAAGCTGGCCATTAAAATGATATTGGTTTGTCGTTTTAAGGGGACCATGCAGGAGTGATTTTTGGAGAATAACCCTTAAATTAGATTTGACCCTTGGGGGAAAAGCTAGTCCACGAATGCTAGTTGTGTGTTTCTGAAAACCCTGGTGTGTATAAATAAATAGTAACACCTTGAAAAGTTTACGATGTCAAAAACATTCACTCACTAAGTTGCGTGGTGGAGAAAATAAGAATGGAGAGAGAGGAAAGTTCAGGGCTGCTGGCAGCACCCTTGCTCCGTCAAGATGTGAGGGGTGCCGGGCCACCCGTGGGCCCCCAGGAGGTGGGCAGTGACAGCAATCACTCCCGGGGACCCCGGGAAGGCCCTGCTGGAGGAGAGAGCGGCGTGGGCGACACGGGCGTGATGGTCTCCTGGGAATGGGAAAACAATACACGATCCTGCAAGCAGCACCAGAAGCTTGCAAACCGACTATAAAAAATGAAGAAATGGTGCTTCTGTTGTTTTGTTAAAAAAACGACCCCAAACTAACATGATTTTTAAAAAGATCAGTTTACTCCTCTCTTGTGCCGCAGTCTAAGTGTAATCACTCAAGGCCAGACAGGTTTACCTCGTCCTGCAAAACTAGGCCTCTTCTATCCATTTCTCAGCCCCTCAGCACCTACTTGCCTTTTGTCTCAGGCTTTAAAATAGCTGCCTCAGACCCTGCCATTGTGTCTACATCCCAGTCAGAGGAAAGGAGAGAGGGAGAAGAATAGGCTTCCCCTGCCATCCTCCAGCAAAGCTGCATTCTCTCTATCACCTGCGTTTCCTACTGCTGCCAGGAAGGAAAACCTCTGCTCCTCTTCCTCCAACTTCTGGCTCATCATTTCTACACGTTCCCTTCAGGACCAGAACAAACCCCGAGAATCTAAGCCCCCTAATGGACTCAGCAAACCAGAGCTCTTGGCTCCCTTCTGGATTTTCAGACTTCAGCCTTCCTCCCTGTCACTTCTCCAGGCAGAGGGAGGAGAACTGTACAGAATGAGACCTCTGTGGCCGACAGCTGCTACCTGAAGTGCGTGCTGTGACCGCCAGTGGACAGGGTCTTCCTTTGTGACCACTGTTGTCTTCCCGGTCCAGCTTCATGATGGCTGGGACGGTGACTCCTGCGTTTTCTCCCCGGTCACACATAGTTCTCAGCAGACGGTGACTAAAAGGGCAGATAGAAATCTCTCCCGGGACCCACTCCATGCCTGCATGCTTCCACTGACCGACAGACGCATGAGACCATGGCCCTTTGGGCAGTGCCAGCCACGCCAGCTGAGGGAAAGCTCTCTCCTCACCTGCCCTGCACCCTAGGAGGAAAATCACCAGTTAAGTTCTGATTCCAGGTTCTGTGTTGCTGCCAGGGATGTGTGTGTCCGGAAGACATCATATGATTTGTACATGCTGGACAAGGATTTCGGTGGAGGAAATTCACGTGGAATTCGTTTGTCTTCTACCTGGAACGTATCCCAGGGATTTAAAAGAAAGAGGAAATTCCCTGATGATAGTGGTCACCCTATTCCCTTGGACACCTCTATTTACTGATATAATTGTTAGTTTTCAATTGCTGTGACAAAATACTCTACATAAGTAACTTGAGGAAATAGTTCTTTCAATTCATAGTTTCAGAGGTTTCAGTCCATGGTCACCTGGTTCCATAGGTTTTGGGTCTGTGGTGAGGCAGAAAAAACATGGCAGGAGAGTATGGCCAAGGAAAGTGCTCTCCTCATGGCAGCCAGGAAGTAGGAGACTGAGCAGCACCATTGGGCTTCCGCTTCCTCTTACTCTATCCAGGCTATCGATTGCCCTCCACATTCCCATGTCAGTTTGCTGCCTCAGACATCATCTCTGGAACCACCCATGGACCTATCCAGCAGTGTGCTTTACCATCTTCCTAGGCATTTCTCAATTCAATCAAATTCACAGTCAAAATTAACTATTACAATCAATACTAATATGACTTCAGCAGCATGTGTATGAGCACATAATACTATTTTGATATTTTAAAATTTACAACAGCTTTTGCAGCTACTTCATTTCACTAAATGAACCTGAAGTAAGCTTGCATTTAATAAGCATATGTTCGAGCATGGCCAGAAGTTCCCCAAAACTAAGCAGGGGAGGGACAGTTAGCCTTGGCTGTCAACTGGATTGGATTGGCAAATACCTAGGAAGCTGCTGAAGCACACTTGGGGATGTGTCCGATGGTGTTTCCAGAAATGTCTGTCATATGGGACAGCACACGGGTGGAGGGGACCCAGCCCGAATGGGGGTGACACCATCCAATTGGCTGGGGGCCCAGGTGGAGCAGAAGCAGGAGGAGGAGGAGGAGGAGGAGGAAGCTGTCAGCGCTTGCTCTCTCTGACTCCCTCTGCTTCTGGGTGAGCTTCACCTCTGCCATGAGGTGAGCAGCTTTCCTCTGCCAGGCCCTTCTGCCTCACCAGTTGCCCATGGACCACCAGCCAGATGAACCTCTTCTCTTCCAAGTTACTTTTCTCAGGTGTTTATCACAGTGATGGAAAGCTAACACATCGGCCTAACCCCTAGCATTGAGTATGCTTTAAAAATCCTGGGATGAGATTCCTGTGGCTAAGACAGGAAACAACTAGTCACCAAGTCCCACTCCATTAAAGAAATAATTTATTTTACTTTTTAAAATCAAAATATAAATGTTTCACTCCTAGGGTTGTGTGTCTATTCTAACACACTCTTATTTGTCTGTGGTTCCTCTCCTTCTTTTGAATCTTAATGTAATGAAACATAAAAATGGCCCAGATTGCCCTCTCCCCTAAACAGATCAGGAGGGTGCTAACAACTATCGAATAGCTATTTTTGCTGGACACTGGGCAAAGCATTCAGCATGGATCATCTTATTTAATCTCGCCACAATTCCATGAGTTGGGTGTTACCTTTATTTTACAGCTGAGCAAACTGAGGCTTAGAGAGGTTAATAACTTTCCCAAGGTCACACAGCGGTTAAAGGGCGGAGTCTAAGTGACAGCACGGGTAAATCCAGCTCTCTCTTTCAAGTACCACACAATGTACTCACAGTTCCCAACGTGTTGTCCAGGAACCAGCAGCATCAGCAGCCTAGGGATTTCTTACAAATACAAATTTTTGGGCTCCACGGTAGGAGCATGAATCAGAACACTGGGAGTTAGGTCCCAACATTCTGTGCATTAATAAATGTTTTGAGGTTAGAATTTGAAAATCACTGCATTACACTACACTTCTGCCATAACAACAACGTGCTTAATGTTTGTATTTATAAACCTCCATAACTGGTGGAGTTCTTGGCTAAGAAAACTCAATAAATAGCCTCAGTGGCTTATATCTTTGTGAGACTGGAGGACAAGAAGATAGTTGGAATGCAACTAATGGTTAGTCTTTTGCAAATCATTTTATGCATTTATTTCACGGGGCTCAAAGCACCTTTCCAAGGGAAAGAGACTCATTATCTATAACATCTGGGAAAGCAAAGTGACCTGGCTTGGCCAGTCCAGTCCAGAATAAAAACAGTGACAACCAGTCAAGAGTGTGCAGAAAGCCAATTCTCAATGACCTGGTGCTCAGATCCAGCAGATTTTGATAATTCCACACGGTAAGAGATTGAAGGGAAGGCAGAAGAGCCAATTATTAGAAAGGCTGGAAAGGGAAGGTGGGAGAGATTTCCTCTGAATCAAAATTAAAATTGCATTTAGACACATGTGCCTCTGGCCATCCAGAGTTTGGGCAGTCCAGTAAGAATGACCTGTGTCAACCTGGGGAACTACGTGCTGGGGAACTTCGTCTGGAACAGCCAGTGTTTGAGTAAATACGAGAGAGAAAACTGCAACATAGCTGTAGTGAAAACCAGCTTCTTAACTCATATTAACTGTCTGTTAGGGTTGTGCTTACTGATGTGAAAGGCTTGGAAAAACTATGTGAGATACCGCACTAAAACAGGAAACCGGTGTTCACCTGGG